CAACGGCAATAGAAGTATGGTGATTCCGGTCTCTAAAACAGGCCATTTGCAAGCGCCCAAACTAATGCATTATAGGCACAAGCTTGAAGTGAAGAAAAGAATTGCAGTTTATTGCAAACCAGCGACTTATCTGTTCGGAAATTTGAAAAGACCGAATTGATAGCTGGGAAAAGCAAGTAGACTGAGTTATGGATCTCTTGAACTCTTCCATGCCCTCACTGGAACAGTTTTTGAGGCACTGTTGGCGCAAAAGCATCGTCCAGTTTAAGCACCCGTAAACAATATGCAAAATCAATTTGAAATTGCACCTATTGTACTAATAAGTGCCTTCGCTTCAACTACTCCACAATTACTAAAAGTGGAAAATTATGCTTGATTATTCAAAGATGCAAACTATTCTTAAAACATTTTCACTTGCTAGGTGGGTTTTAATTCCTTAAACAACTTTCTAAAAGCTGCACAGTTAGACTACTTACTAAGAAAACTCTCGGAACATTTATTTGTTTCCAGAGGAGACGCCTATACTCATTTGCTTGCATAAACATTGTACCATCAGCTCATAGCACCTACTTACTAATTACCATGGTTAAGTTCCGATTTGGTGATACATGCTTACGACAATGGAGGTAAAGAAACCATTAAAAGTGCTCCACACTCCTAACTAAAAGCCACTCACCTCACCCCAACTTTGTTCTTTTTTAAAGTCTTCCAAAGCTGCTCTTAAAATGCGAGTTGCTTTTGTCGTGTGCATCACAAATAATTTGAAATTGTAGCAGTGTTAAATCACTATCTCTTAAGCGCTAGACCATTTGCTTTATTGACGAAGGTATTTCCAGTTTTTGCGGTTCATTAAATGATTTCATCCAGGGACGCTGAGTAAATACAACAGGGGAATGAGGTCGTCTCAGCAAAGTGCATTTTACTTCATTAAGTTCACTGAGTTCTGAAACCTGTTACATTTCATGACTGTGGGCCCTGACACTCAATAGTGCATCTGTAAGTTGATGGACGCTGGAGAATTACCACCGACGGCTCCAAGATTGCACAGGTTCAGAAATTGATTTTGGTGACAAATTTCGCACTCATGACAACAGGTCAAAAATTTAGTTTACTGAGTGTTAGTTTGCATGTGCTAAAAAAACAGCACTAAAGAACTTCAATTTCGAGAAAAATTATGCTCTAAGTTACTGGCTTAAAGTATTGTGGAGCTTGAACATCCCTGCACACCAAAGTCTCAACAGCTATTACCTCACTCATTATTACATCACCATTGACATTTCAATCTACATTCACAATCTTGAGTGAAAACGCAAAGCAACAGAGTCTAATAGTTGCTGGGGTGTATCTACCTCCTAAATATGAAATCAACTTGCCGTTTAGAATGGCCTCGATACCGAAGCCAGTATACGCAATGAGGAGTCCGCACTTGCGACCGAACCGATCCGAGATGAAGCCCAAGGGCACGATGGTGAAGAGGCCGACAATGCCACTGACGAAACTCATGGTCGTAGCAACAAATGCAGATTGCGACTGAACCCACTGTTCCCGCCCCGTCTTATCCATACCGTTGAACCGTGACCTGAAAGAGGTCAAGCAAATCTGAGATGATTAGAATTTTGACCTTAGTTGTCAAGATGATTGGGCCAGTTGGTCTGTCCTTCGAAATAAGAGGAAAATACTTTAAGTTTGATAAGTTCATTTGGCATATTGATGTATAACCAAGGCATCGCAATGAAAAATAATTTGAAATGTGTAATAACAATGTGGATGAAATATGCTCACAAATCTGCCAAATACATCAAAATTCACAGCCAAACTGGGATGTACCTTGACGTTACAAAGAGCAAGCACGATCTGTAATAGTGAAGGTCTGTTGGCCATTTAATGGTGCGCACCATCTCCCTCTACATTACCCAAGAAGGGCTAATCCCCGAATTTTAGAAAGCATCATCGAGTGTGTGAGTACTTTAACAAATTTCCCATTACGTAGAGAACAATTATGTTATATTCAAGTAAAGTTGGGAATGCAACAGCAGTCGATTTGAGCAAAAATTTAATCAAAAAGGAGATGCGGAAATGGCTCAACTGATAAGAACGTTTCAGTGGCACCAAGAGCGAGCATTCCTTAAGACGTGTTGCAACTCGGCAGTGTCAAAATATGGTCTCACCTTTTCTATTGCCTAACTTCTGGGAATAAGCACTGCAAGTGTATTTGATTCCCATTAGTGAAAATCATTTTACTCCTCGGTTTCCAATTCTGGCATCAAAAGGTCGAAGTAAGCAAAATAGTACGCAGAATCGAGAGTCCTTTTAAGTCTTTTTTAAATTCGTATCGATATGTGTCGTTACAAGTTTATTTCAATTCGACAGAAAGATGGTGAACTTGGTTTGGCAGATCAGCAAAATTTGCTAGAAATATTAACGCCTACTTCTGTCCGCCAAGGCGCATCAATGATGCGCTAGTGGATTAATTAACTAATTTACTAAGACGACCTTTTAGC